GTACGCAGGCCTCTCACTGTTGCGGCCTCTCCCGTTGAGGAGCACAGGCTCCGGATGCGCAGGCTCAGCGGCCATGGCTCATGGGCCCAGCCGCTCTGCGGCATGTGGGATCTTCCCGGACCGGGGCACGAACCCATGTCCCCTGCATCGGCAGGCGGATTCTCAACCACTGCGCCACCAGGGAAGCCCCCTTTGCCCATTTTTTAATCAGGTTGCTTGTTTTGTTGATGTTGAGTTGTAGGAGTTCTTTCTATGTTCTGAATATTAACCCCTTATCAGATAAATAATTTGCAGGTATTTTTCCCATTCCATGAGCTGTCTTTTCACTCTGTTTGTTGACAGCGTCCTTTGATGCACGAAAGTTTTTAATTTCAATGAAGTCTCATTTATCTATTTTCTCTTCTGTTGCCTGTGCTTTTGGTGTCACATCCATGAAATTGTTGCCAATCCCAAAGTCAGGAAGCTTTCCCATCTGCCTGTTTTTGAGTAGCAGAGACACACTAGTGTGCTAGGGTAAGCTTGGGGTGACCTAGGGACTCATCAGACTGACAACTTGGAAAGCCCGCCTGTTCGCTGAGAACTGAGTCCCCCAATTGCACTGCTCTCACGGGGTGACACCACTGGCTGCCTCTCAGGGTGGGACAGAGCGAGTCCTGAAGGGCTGGGGTCTGCGCACTGTGGACACTGTCTCCATGGTCTCGGAGCCTGGACTCTGCAGCGATGGGCAGCCACAGCACGGAGCTGCTTTCCTCAGCAGGAACCACCGAGTGCCACCCGGCCAGCAGGAGGTGTCTAAGGAAGGGGCCCCCGGCGAAGGAAGATGGACACTGGGGAGTGGGCCGGGCTAACCAGCAAACTGAACTGCCTCAGTTTATCAAGGAAAACACCACACACCCTGTGCTCCCCACTCTGACCCAATGATCAAAGCCCCAGAAACAAGAGCTGCTGCTGAGGCCCAGGGACATGGGGTCCTGCGGCCACCTCAGAGGAGATGGGAGGTCCCAGGGACAGGTGGCCAGAATTCTCCTCCAGCCAGAGCGGATGGCGCCCACATGCAGGGAAGGGGTGCCTGGAGCAGCATCTGAGCACCGTTCACCCGAGAGAGCCACCAGGCTGGCCTCACAGCTACGGCGTCCACTGGGCATTCCAGCCGACACTTCAAACAGAGCGGGAACCTCAGGGGTCCCAGGGGAAATGCTGGAACCAGTTAACCTGGCCTAGGGGCCCTCTGGCTTTCCAACAGGGCCTGGCTTTGGGACAGGGCGGAGGGGGTCTCTGGGTGCAGGTGAGTGCTGGCTGGTGGATGAACTTGGCCAGTGTACCCCCAGAGCCCAAGGGGGAGGGCAGCTCGCCCACCGGGAACCTCCCAGCCCTCTTGGGCTCCCCCGCCGTGAGCCCCACTCCTTTCCAGGCCCTTCCTCCTCAGCCCTGAGACTGTGGCCACGTACCCTGTTGGCTACACTACTGTTAACATTTCATGTTTCAGATTCTTAATGAACAACTTCTCGATTTCAATCTCTTTAAACAAAAAAAAATGACAAGATAACTGGGTTGTATTTTTACTTTCAACCACCCTGCTGATTTCAAAAATGTGCTTCAGAAGCTTCTAATGGAAAAAAAGTGCCTGAACATCTTGCTCTGAAAAATCCCCCAGGAGGCACCCTCAAGGCACTAAGAAAACCAGAAGAAAAGGAACTGTGAGGGCCTGTCCACTTGGGAATTTAAAATAAAGCTCAGAGCAGAGACAGGTGACAAGCCGCCAGAGAGAGTGAGTGCTCGCTGCACATCCTGCCAAGCCCAGGCCTTCCGGAGCGTGTAAAGCTCCCTCTGCCTTTTTACAGTGATAGGAAAACAAGCATCCTTGTGCCCAGAGAAAAAAACCTGTTTCTCAAACAACTTGGTGTACTAAGCGTACAGGAAGCTATGTCGCACAGAACAGAGAGAAAGGGCCTGACTCAGCAGAAGCCTGGGGGCGGGGGCGGGGGGGGCACGGCAGGAAGCCCCCATGTAGCCTCCCTTGGAGGAGAAAGAATGCATTGATCACTAGTTCCTGATCACTAGCTCTCTCAGAGGTGAAAACAACTCCAGATTGTGACCCGAGAGAGGGAGACCAAGCCAGGCTCACCCTGGACGCTGCCATGGGCTCAACTGTGCCCCCAAAACTCAGATGTTGGGGTCCTGACCCCCAGCACCTCTGAACGGGACCTGCTTAAAGTCAGGGTCTTTACTGAGGGAATCAAGTTAAGACGAGGTTGATGGGGGGGTCCTGATCAATAGCACTGATGTCCTGATGGAAAAGGGACCACTGGAGACAGACACAGACACAGAGGGAAGACAGCGCCTGCAGGCCGAGAACGGAGGTCCCCAGAAGGAACCAACCTTGCTGACACCCTCGTCTCCGACTTCGGGCTCCGGACGGAATCACTGCGTGTTGTTTAAGCCTCGGTCTGTGGAGCTTTGTCACGGCTGCCCCGGGGACACTCACACAGAAGGGCCACGAAGGGCACCTCTTATTTCCCCGTGGGGGAAACTTTAAGAGGTTTTGGTTCTGTTGTTTCCAAGGTACAGCACACTTTTTAAAACATTAAAACAAAGGACACATGGAACAGATGACTTTAAGAAGAATATAAGAATGCAGCTGTTTTACAAATGGATGTTAACCAGGTCACGGCGTGAGTCAGGAGTAAGTGACGGGCTACACAGGCAGCGGTCTAGTCGCAAAGAGAACGTGAAATCTCGCTTCGGGTAGTACCTGCTTACTGTCCTGCTCGCTGGCCTTCTGGCTGCCTTCAGCAGGTGAATCTCTCCGCTTTGCCTGCAACAGAAAAAGCACTGGCTGTTGGAAGAAAAAGCAGCTGATTAAAAACACACAGAGACCTAAGCTTTGCTCGGAAGGCCGAAAAGGCCGAGGACTAGGACTTTCCTGGTGGCGCAGTGGTTAAGAATCCACCTGCCAATGCAGGGGACATGGGTTCGAGCCCTGGTCCAGGAAGATCCCACATGCCGCGGAGCAACTAAGCCCGTGTGCCACAACTACTGAGCCTGCTCTCTAGAAGCCTGTGCACCTAGAGCCTGTGCTCCTCAACAAGAAAAGCCACCATAGTGAGAAGCCTGTGCACCGCAACAAAGACCCAACATAGCCAAAAATAAACAAACAAATAAAGGGGGGAAAAGAAAAAGAAAAGGCCAAGGACTGAAGTCCATGAAACAGAAAGGCTTTCAAATCTGCTGCCTCTGCATCAGTTTTCTTGGATTCCAGTTCCTACACCTGATGTGGATCTCTGCGCTCCTTGCTGGTCCGTGTGAAGGCAGGTGAGAGCTCCCTGAACCCACAACGGCAAACCCCAAACAGAGCCTCCCAGGCAGGGCTGCATCTCCAGAGCCGGGAAAGTCGTGGAAAGTCCAACACCTAAGACAAATGATTTCCTGGAAAGCTATTCTCTGCCCTCACCCTTTCTGCCTGGAGATAGCCTATAAATTTCCCTTCATAAAGGCGATCTCTTCCCTCCCAAGAGGAAGGGAACAGCTTAACCACCTGAGAACGCTAATCATCAAAAGGACTGCAGGAGGCTGAGCCTCACAACAAACTCACTAAAATAACCCTCATCTTCCCTTCCCCCATATCTTTACCTTCCCAAATTTAGTTCCCTGTAAGCAGAAACCCCTTTTGTCTTGTCACTTGTCCACAATTTATCACTCTTTGTTAAAAGGGTAGATAAGCCCCCAGGTCTAGCCTCCAAATGAATAAGAAATAAACATTTTCTCCAGTTAATTTGCCTTTGGTCAGTTTAATTTGCGGGACCCCAGACACTAAACCTAAATGGATAGAGGGAACAGTTTTGTTTTTTTTTTTTAATTTATTTTATTTATTTATTTTTGGCTGTGTTGGGTCTTCGTTGCCGCGCACGGGCTTTTCTCTACTTGCGGCGAGTGTGGGCTCCTCTTCGTTGCAGTGCGCGGGCTTCGCACTGCGGTGGCTTCTCTTGTTGCAGAGCACGGGCTCTAGGCATCCAGGCTTCAGTAGTTGTGGCTCGTGGGCTCTGGAGCGCAGGCTCAGTAGTTGTGGCACACAGGCTTAGTTGCTCCGCGGCATGTGGGATCTTCCCAGACCAGGGCTCGAACCCGTGTCCCCTGCATTGGCAGGCGAATTCTTAACCACCGCGCCACCAGGGAAGCCCGAGGGAACAGTTTTTTTCCTCTCCCTCGCATGTAAAAATCCTGACTCCCATGAGCCACCTTCTGGGGAAACTGCACGAGGATGGCTTTGCCTGCAGAGCTCAGGACCTGTACTCTCAGGTCAAACATAAGCATGAAAACTGCACCAAGGGACTTCCCTGGTGGTACAGTGGTTAAGAATCTGTCTGCCAATGCAGGGAACATAGGTTCAATCCATGGTCCAGGAAGATCCCATATGCCACAGAGCAACTAAGCCCATGTGCCAGGCCTACTGAGCCTGCACTCTAGAGCCCACGAGCCACAACTACTGAGCCCACATGCCACAACCACTGAAGCCCACGCACCCTAGAGCCCACGTGATGCAACTACCGAAGCCCATGCGCTCTAGGGCCTGCATGCCACAACTACCAAAGCCCACGTGCCTAGAGCCCGTGCTCCACAAGAGAAGCCACCTCAATGAGAAGCCTGCGCACCACAATGAAAAGTAGCCCCCGCTCACCACAACTAGAGAAAGCCCACGCACAGCAATGAAGACCCAACACAGCCAAAAACAAAAACAAAAACAAAAAACAAAACAAAAAAACGTTCTATAGATCTGAGTGTTATTCTGACTTTTGTGCTTAATCTTATGTTAAGTGAACTTGAACTTGTGGCGGTGGCTTAGGTCATCCCTTCCTTCCTTGTTTGATTTCTGGATTTGTAGAAGGACCCAGAAGACTCACAGAAGGCAGAGAAGAAGCCATGTTCACACAGGCCCTGACTGGGGCCCCTTCCTCCTGCCTGATGCCCAACACCCAGCTCAACTCTGAGCCCGTCTTGGTTTCTCTGGTTTCCTTGCATTCCTTTCACCCAGAAGTGACCCACACACACACCCCAATTTGGTTGTTGGCCTCCAAAGGCCTTGACCAGAGACCTGAGACCCTCGCTCTAAGGAGAAGCTACATTGTGAAGAAACCAGGTTGCCCTGAAACAGCTCTGCTCGCCTTCAGGATAAAGTCCCAGAGCTCCTGCGTGGGGCCTTGTCCCCATCCAGGGTCCCTCCTGACTCTTCCCTGGGCCTGCACCTGTGCTGGGTGGGGAGGGGAGTTCATGCTCTGCAATGTCAGCAACCCACCATCACACAGGCGCTTTCAGGTGCGCTGAGCAGGTACCTAGCTGTGCGTGAATGTTCTGGAACGGGGCAAGAGGGCGGCCGGTGAGAGCAGTTTGCCCCGGACAGAGCACAGAGTTCTTTCACTTAAGTTCAGTTCTGCTGTCAAAGTTGACTGAGATTCAGGAAAATGGGGAAGGGAAGCTGTCCTCTATTTCTCACCCCCAATTTAAACGAAAACGGTTCGTTTGGGACAGCGAGACCCATGCTGAGGTCCGAGCTTATCCAAACACCCCAATCGATGTATTCCCTTAGGGTCACGACCAAACCACATGCCCCTGAACCCATGCCCAGAGGCGGCCCGAGTTGACCCCAGCGCCTCAGATCCCACATGATTCTTGGATGCTCAAAATCTATTTGAGCAGGTGCTGACAATGTCAGGCAGGAGGACGAGCCAGTTCCCAGTTCCAATGTTGTGGTCTTCCAGGGGAAGACTGGATGTTTCACATTGAAACACTTTGCTTGAATCTTTTTAACGGAAACTTTGTAATAGGGAAGAACAAATCTGACTCCATATTGGATTGTTTCTTTTGCTTTAACCTTTGTATTCTATTGCTTTTGCTACAAGTTAATCACTAAAAGAATGTTGCCTATAGCCTGAAATACACAGGATAGCCCATTCTCAAAATTCTGACCTTTAAAGGTTCATCACTTTTCCATTCATATAGAGATAAAAAGTAAAAAGTTGCAAAACAGAGCATAACATTTATCTTGTTGGAGGTTTATAGGAACGTGACCAGACCTACGCAGACAGCTTTGAGAACAAAGGATTCCAAGAAGTTCGCAACAACTAACCATACCCCCTCCCCTTTTAGTACAAAAGAAGCCTAAATTCTAACTGGGTTCTTTGGGACACTAGTCCACTGTCCTCCCCGTCTGATGGCTTTCCGGATAAAGTTGCTATTCCTTGCCCCAACAACTCATCTTTCGACTTACTGGCCTGTCATGCGGTGAGCAGTACAATGGACTCGGTAACTTCCTGGAGGATTTTAACTTCTCCCTCAATTTCCAGTCCTGGCCTTAGGCCCACCTGAGTGAGTTCTGTCTCACATAAGGACGAGCAGAGGTGGTGGCCACACGAGGCGCTGCTGTTCATTCTGAAACGGTTACACTGACACACTGAGTCCCACCTCAGAGTAACTGAGGACCTGTGAGGTGGGAGAATCCAGGTGCACCCTGCCTAAAGCAGCTGTGGGGCTGGGAGCCTGACCCGGGGAGCAGGGTGGGCATCACCCAGGAGAGCAGCCCAGCTCCCTGCCTCACCAAAGGAACTCAGCTGCGTCTGCAGCCAGACATGAGAGGCAGCACACAGAAAGGTTGTGCTAAAGTCACAGCTGGCGAAGAGGAAACACTCCTCTGTGACACTCATTACCTGGAGACAGCGCAGACCCCCACAGGCTGAGGGCTGTTCCACGAGACACACCTGCACCTCAGACGCCAATCCAAGTCCCAAGTTGTCACCTGTGCGCCTGACCGACCAGCTGTAAACCAGGGTTTCCATGACCCCCTCCTTGGGTTCCATCTACAATGGAACCCAAGCCATTGTACTATAGCTCACAGAACTCCAGGAAACACGTACAAGAGCTCACAGAACTCAAGGAAACATGTAACTATGTTTACTGGCTCATTATGTAATAGAGGATGTGATAAAGGACACAGATGCACAGCCAGGTGAAGAGGCACTCTGGGCAAGGTCCGGAGGGGTCCGAAGTGCAGGAGCTTCTGTCCCCATGGAGCTGGGGTGTGCTACCCTCCTGCACATGGATGTGTCCCCCAACCTAGATGCTCTCCAAACCTCATACTTTAGAGATTTTTATGCAGGCTCATCACATGGGCACAATCCATTATTGGCTCAATCTCCAGCCCCTTCCCCCTCCCCAGAGGATGGGGGTAGGGCTGAAAGTTCCAGGCTTCTAATCACACCTGGTCTTTCTTGTGACCAGCCCCATCCAGGAGCCCACCAAGAGTCACCTCACTGGAACAAAAGAATTATGAGGGTCTTGGAGGCCTGTGTGAGGAGCCGGCGGGGAGAGGGGACCAATATACATATTTTCTATTATTTCACAATGTGTTTCTGTTGAGAGATGCCAGCAGGTCACATGATGCGGCCAGTTCTGGACACAGTGAGGAGAGGGTGCCGGCAGCGGGAGCCGACCCACAGCTACGTGGGCCCCACAGCCGGAAGCGAGCAGTGCGGAAGCCGCTTCCCTCTCCCCGGTCAGAAAGGAGGGATTCAAACCCAAGATAGACTCCTCAAACCCAGGACCACATCTACAGGTGATGAGACTCCAGGCATCTCTCCCCCACCAGGGTGAAGTATGCATAGTGAGGCTCATGGTTTGTCTGTTCACCCAGACTCCCTCTACAATGAAAAGGAAGCAGCGGGAACACCCACTGTGCACAAGGCTGGATTCGGGACTTGTGACAATCCTCACAAACAAATATACTCAGGGTGGAGGGGGCAACCAGTACAGAATGAGAACCTCGACCCCCACCACCACCCGCCCCAAGCACAATGCCCTCCCCTGCACGATCTTCCCATTCAGACCTGGAAGGGCTGCCGGGCGCTCCCTGCGGGGTTGCTGCAACAGGAGACCTGAGAGAGACAAAACCAGGGCTCCCGCTCAGCCAAAGTCGCCCAACACACAGCTGGAGCCCAGCACCATGCAGGAAGATGGTGTTGCCAGGCCTGCCCTGAGGCTGTCCACGTCCTGGGCCCGAAAGTCAGAGCCAGCCCCAAACAGGATGCTTCATTACTTTTTTTAGCTTTTTAAAAAACTGCGGCAAAATTCATACAACATAAGAGTAATTTTTTAAAAGTGAAGGATTCAGTGGCATTTGGCACATTTACGATGTTGTGCGAACCCCACCTCTATCCAGTTCCACATTTCCATCCGCAAAGGAACTCTCCCCACTGAGCTCTCACTGCCACCCCTTCCCCAGCCCTGGCACCCACTATGTGTTCTAGCACAGTGACTTTTAAGTTGCAAAATAATTAACAAAAGACAAAGGATGCCCTGAGAGTCTGTCTGCAGGGGTGGGCACACTGTTCTGGCACCGCCCAGCAGCCAGAGGCGCCTCCTGCAGGGTCCCAGCTTCCCTGTCCAAACACCCTGGTTGTTGCTTCTTCAGGTACAAGCCACACCGAGGATCCATCCACCCTGGCCCTCAGTGGGAGCCAAGCCAGTGGCCCTCTGACCACCACCTGAAACCACGACTGTCACACCCCCTGGGAGCAACCAAGAAGGTGACGAGGGGACTAGCTTCTGCCTCTGCCAAGCGCCGGCTCTGCTACTGGAAGAGGGTGGCGGTCCCGAATGCTCCTCCGTGCTGAAGGAGCAGTGATGAACTGCGTGCCTGGCAGGGCTCCTCTAAGCAAACCCCACCTCAGCTGTCCTCACCTTTCCTGTCCTTCTGTTTTTTCAGAAAAGCACCAAGTGGAAAGAAAGACAGGGCGGGGAAACACCTGAGTTTTTTCCAGTTTCCTTCCTAGAACCAATCCCAGGCGGCCACCTCCTCAATGACACCAACACGACAGATAAAACCGCGTGCAAGGAAGAGGATCATCCTCAGAGACGTAAGGCAGAGCCAAGGAGCCCACAACCATGCCCACGACCATGCCACAGAGACGGATAGGACGCAGGATGGAGCCCCCCATTGTCCCCTCCACCTGCACGGGCACAAGGGTCCTAACCCACAAGGCCCCCCATCTCTCACTGCACAAATCTCACTGAGATGCCTGGGTCTGCCCTCGCACCTCGTCGGGGACCCGCCTCTCCTGCCCTTCAGGGATCCCCATGGACTCGGGGCCCCTCTTCACACTCAGCCAGAGACCGCGCCTCGCACATGGCCAATATGTGCGTGTCTGGCAAAAGGCAAGGCCGGGCAAGTACACCCGGGCCAGGACTCAGCCAGGATTCTTCTAGACTCTTCTATAAGGAGCTGCCAACCCTGCAGGCAGGCCGCCTCCAACCATGTCACCCAGAGATCACATCCATCCGTGTACCTAACGCTGGATTCAAACCAAACAGCAGAGCGGGCACCCTCCTCGGGACGCCGTCCACTTACGTGTCCGGGCTGCCCGCTGGGGGCCACGGGGCTGCTGGTGGAGGTGAGGTCTCGGCAGCCCCAGTCGCTGGCCATTCCAAGACTCTCTGCCGAGAAAGGGGGTGGCGGGCTTTGAGTGGCTGCTGGCTGAGACTTTGGTTAAAGAGACCCCACAGATCAGGGAGAGCAAGCGTGCGCTAGTCTCTAACGGGTCGGCCAGAGCCGCTGTGAGCCGAGCTGACCGCATGGGAACCTGGCGTCTTCCAGAGCAAATCATGAACGACTCCAACAGCAGAAAGTAATGGAAAATTTCAACAGGAAAAGCCACCCTCCCCATTAAAATAAAAAATAGTAAAAGAATTTGCAACTATGCTCATAAGAACAGGAATCCCAAATCAAAAAGCTTTAAGAGGAAGCTCTCGGGAACCCCGGGGAAGGGCCGTGTCTATGCATTTCCCGTCACCGACGTGGTTTCTGCCTTTGGGGACTTTATGGGCTCACCTGGCCATCAAAATTACTACACTCATGGCCCTGCGGTGTCCAGAGGCAGGGCCATGCTGAGCCTCATGTAGCCCAGAGCCCCGCCGACCCTCCCAGCCGCCCCCTACCGAGGCTGAGCCCTGCCTGCTCCGGGTGCACCAAGGTACTCACTCTCCACGTGCGCAAAAGCACAGAAGGGGCCCCGAGGGCAGTGCCCAGTCTGTCGCATGTCGTTGCACTTGGTAGACTTGTAGATCTAGGAAATGAAAATAAAACAGCAAATAGAGAGGCTGGACTGGAAACCTGTTTCCGTGGGAGGCCCAGAGCTGGCTGGGTCTGGCCTCCTCCTTCCAGCTGGAGGCCTAGAGCTGGTAATCACAAGGGGGTATCCTGAAAAAGAAGGATGTGGACACCGCACCCCCCGTCCCCACTCCTCCCAGCAGTCCCAGGACGCCCTGTCTGCGCAGGGCCAGTCAGCCTGGGAAACCGTGTGGGCCTGAGGCTGCTCCTGCAGCGCCTGTCCTTGAAATCACATATCAGGTCAGCTTGTCCACTTGGCACTGCCTGATACACCTGGTTCACTGCCTGGCATACAGCAGGTGTGCAAGAAATGCCTGTTAAGTGACCACATGCGTCCACTCCATGGCCAGACCCAAGGCTGCTTCACTTGGGTGCGGCCCCGCAGCACAGCCTGCCCAGGAGGGACAGCGGCCTCTAGGCCCCAGACACCCTCATGGGTGCTGCCACCCGCCCCCTTCCCTGCCCGAAACACTGCTCGTTCCCCGTGGCTCTTTGACCATCCCCTGAGCACCTGCACTGAAATTTTAAGGGTCACCAACAAAAGCAATTTCAAAAGGTCTCCAATTCAGAACTCCAAATATCAGGAGTCTAAGTGTTGTTTTATGCACGCTCTGAAGCACTGAATCTCTAGACAGAAGAAACTTTTAAGAAACCTAACACCACAGCCTTTCAGACCAGGAGCCCACCCCTCCCTGGAGCCCAGGTGCCCCAGTGGGCACAGCTGGGCGCTCCTTCACCGCAGAGCCTGCTCCCAGCCCGGCCCTGACCCTCCTGGTCCCGGTGCTCTGATGCTCTCCCATTGGTCCAGGGGCCTTGTGTGCTTGTTCGTTTTTAACACAAATCCGAGTGTGCAGCAAAGGGTTAACTCCATGCCTTCCCTGTCCACACCCGCATGCCCCAAAGGAAGGACTGGCTTTGATGGGCTCAGGGAGGTGACGTCTGAGCCCCTGGAATGTCCTGCCTGGTCGGGTCTCTGTTTACCTGGGGCTCTGGGCCATGCCACATAGTGACTTAAGGTGGGCCTGGGCCACGCAGCATTGGCTCAGCCTCTGCAGGGGCCAGAGACTGAGGTCAGCCACGTCTGCTGACCGACCCCCAGTAAAAACCCTAGATGCCAAGGCTTGGGTGACTTCCCAGCTGGCAGCACTGTGAATATGGCCACAAATACGGCCACACGTGGTAGCTAGGAGAAGGACACACCGTCCACAGTGCGTGCCTAGTCTCCCCAGGACCCGCCCCTGTGCCTTGATCCTTTGCTGATTTTAATCGCATCCTTTCCATGTAAAGAACCATAGGTGCTGAGCCCCGCGAGTCCTTTGAGCCCGTCCCTGGACCGAGGGTGCTCCCGTACCTCGGGGTGGAACTGCTGCTCTGTGCGCGAGTGGCAGTACTGACAGCTGTCCCCGCTCTCGCACCTGGAGGGCTCGCCCCACTCGTCACCGTGCTTCACGCTGGGGCAGGGGGTGGACCTGGGGGACAAGGAGGAGTCAGCGGAGGATGGATGTCCTCCCCACATGCCCTGGGGCATCAGGCTGTCCGCACAGTGCTGAGCACACGTGCACCACCAGGGGACATGGGTGCCAGCCCCGGAAGCACTGGCCCCTTCCTCACCAGGACAGGCAAAAAAAAAAAACAGGGCAGGGATTTCCCTGGCCGTCCGGTGGTTAGGACTCTGCGCTTCCACTGCAGGGAGCGTGGGTTTGATCCCTGGTCAGGGAACTAAGATTCCACATGCCGCAGAGGGCGGCCAAAAAATAAATAAATAAATAAATAAAAAGGAGTGCAGGTGCCTGGTGGAACCCAGAAGGCATTCAGGAGCCCGTTTTCATTTCCCACAAAATGTGAAGTGAGTGAGTCAGAGCCACCGATGCCACTGTGACAAGCACCTCGGAGACGTAGCCAGGCCTCCTGTAGCAGGAGGAGACCAGGCCCAGCCCCCGCCCAGCCCACCAGGGGACCACACTCTGTCTCCCCGTGAAACTATTTCCAAATTGAACCTGAGACTTTGGTCCTACAATATGAAAACCCTACCCAATACCCTCTATTCTTCAGGTACTTCCTGACAGCTTTATTGTATTGGATTTATTTTAAAAATTATCATCTGTGGGAAATAAAACTTGTAATCTTTACGATTTTCTATCGCTTTGATACACAGTAAATTCACTTCATCTTCTCAAGATGACATCGGGTGACTAAAAGCCAAAGGTTCTCTGTGCCTCAACTCAAACTACTCAGAACAGTGACTGTCATAAAAACAACTTTATCTGAAAGTGAGGGCTCTTGGGCAGGTGAGGTGGCATCAAATTATTAGAGAGAGGCTCTTTGCTCCAAGAACAAGCTCTACACAGAGCTCGGGACCCAAGGGAGGAGCGAGGTGAGGGCCAAGGTGCCCAGGCACCCCTGGGGTTCCGTGTCCCCAGTCCCCCACCCTGCCCAGTGCCAGGTCCATCCAGCAAGTTGGCAAACCCGAGGCTAAGCTGGGCACCAAGGTGAGGGCAGCTGGAGTGAGGAGGAGACGGCCTAGGAAGAGACCAGGACTGCCAGGTGCATGAAACCAGGTGAGGCCCAAACCCACCACCCCGAGGACATCAGTTCCCCGGAGAGGGTGAAGTCAGGCTGTGGGCACTGGGACTCGCAGCCTCTCAAGGGCCAGTTCCTTGCCAGTAGGCGCTCTTGCTGGCAGGGACACACAGGTCACAGGAGGGAGGCCGGGGGAGGGGGGTGGAAATGGAGGAGCCACGCCCTGACCGCACCTGCTGGCTGGCTGGACACCAGAGCCTCTGGGGAGAGTGAAGGGAGCAGAGGGGTGGCTGCCTAAACTAGAGCCTCGAGCCAACGTGAGTGTGAACAGAGGGGACCGCCGGGCTGGGCCCACACCAGAGAAGTCGGCCAGGGCCCTGCGGTGCCCGTAGCCCAGGCTCACCTGTACTGGAACCTCCGGGGGTCCCGCCGCCGGTCCCTGCTATTGTGGAAGTGTGGGCATGCGTAGCCCTGGCGGCACAGGCGCGGCGGCTTGGGGCACTGCTCTGTCTTGTAGCTGCCTAGCACGAAGTTGGTATCTGAAAAACAGGGGCCCACACGGAAACGTGCACACGTGTGCTCACGGCAGCCACACAGCCAAAAGGTGTCCATCAGCAGATGATGGGTAAACGCCATGTGGCCCAGCCATGTGGTGGAGCATCACTCAGCCATGAAGAGGAGTGAAGCACTGACATGCGCTACAACGTGGATGAGACTTTAACAATCTGAACACACAATGCTCAGTGAGAGAAGCAGACACAGAAGGCACATGTTGTATGATTCTACTTATAGGAAACATCCAAAACAGGCAAATCCATAGACAGAAAGTAGATTAGTGGGTATCAGGGGCCGGGGCTTCTTTGGGGAGACTAGATAGAGTTTTAGAACCAGATAAAAGTGATGGGTGCACAACACTGTGAACATACTAAAAACCTCTGAAATACACTTTAAAATGGCTCATTTTACACCCAATAAAGTACCATACAAAGTTAAAAAATAAATAAATAAAAATAAATTAAATGGCTCATTTTAACCCCAAGGTAAATGATGGGCGCTGGGTGATGCTGACATGTCAATGCAGGCTCTCAGCTGTGACAAACATCCCACTGCAGCGGGGCTGCCGTGTGTATGGAGGTACCAGATATGTGAGGACTCCCTGAACTTTCCACAATGTGGAACCTAAAACTGCTCTAAAAAAAATAAAGTCTATTTTTTAAGTAGTTAATTTCATGTTACCTGAATTTTATCTCAAAGCAAAAATAAACAAAAAAACCACCAGGGGTCATTTAAAAGCAGTAACTGGATGAAAGGAGATTCTTGAAAATCATACCCATTCTTGGGATGGTTAATAACTGACCCTCCCCATTTTTTTTTTTTTTTTTTTACAAACGGCATTGTTTTTAATTACACTTGCCCAGGGGGGCTGACCCTCAAGGCATGGAGGGGAAGACAGTGGCAGAGGGAGGGTGTGTTGCCCGGCCAACCCCGGGAGCCACGCCCAGGACACGCTTCCACACCCACATTTAATGGCACCACCCCCACACACACCAAACTCAGTTCCAAATAACTGATAAAATGACAAGGGACGCCCCTTTTTTTTTTTTTTTTTTTTACAAACGGCATTGTTTTTAATTACACTTGCCCAGGGGGGCTGACCCTCAAGGCATGGAGGGGAAGACAGTGGCAGAGGGAGGGTGTGTTGCCCGGCCAACCCCGGGAGCCACGCCCAGGACACGCTTCCACACCCACATTTAATGGCACCACCCCCACACACACCAAACTCAGTTCCAAATAACTGATAAAATGACAAGGGACGTGAACCACACAGCAGGGCACAGAGAGGACAAAAGGAATTTAAACAGAAAAGACGATTTTAAGAAAATAAAAATTGTAAGACATTCGTTCACAAGCATTGACAGAGGACCTCCAACAGACACGAGGTCCTGCGCTGAGTGGCATGAACCACAAAGAAGTGAGAGGTGTAGCAGTGCCTATGAGTCACAGGGGCTCCGGGACGCCCTTTAGTGGGTGACGGATGAACGGTCCACCCAGATGTGGAGAATTATTCAGCAATAAGAAGAAAGGTGCTAAGATAATATGAGAAAAAAAAAGAAGAAGAAAGGTGCTACCAAGCCCCAAAGAGACACAGGGAACCCTGAATGCACAGCACTAAGTGCAAAGGCTACACACTGTGTGATCCCAACTGTAAGACAAAACAATGGGGCGAAAGATCAGTGGTCACCAGCAGTGGAGCAGAGAGGATCTTAGGGCAGTGACACTACCTGCATGACATCATAATGGAGGATCCGTGTCTTTATACATTTGCCCAGACCCGGAGAATGCACAATGCAGGGATAAACTGTGCTGTTAGTTAATAATCATGTATCAATATTGGTTGTCAATTCTAACAAATGTTACCTCATCAACACAAGACGTTCATGATGTGCAATTTTTCTGTTAACCGAAAACTTCCCTAAAAGATAAAATCTACTAATTAAAAATCCAAACCACGGGCGCTGAGGGTTAGTTACCCGGCCAGACCTGACCCAGCGCCTCCTCCCACTTTCCTTCCTCAAGCTCAGCCCGCCTGACAGTGACAAGAGAGGACCTGTACCCCCACCTGCACCACAAGCCAGAGCTCACAGGTGGAGCCTGTGGTCCAGGACCAGGGAGACCGAGGGGCTGCAACATGAGAAGGCCAAGCCCCGAGGCAGGGAGCTGTGGGCGCAGCCCTCCCTCTGTGCAAGCCTCTCCCCAGAGGGACATGGCGACACTGGGACCCCCATATATGCTGTGCGTCCAGGCCCCCCACGGCACAGGCGCAATGGAAGGCCAGGCTCCTCAGCGCTCCTGCAGGGCCCGGCCTGAGGCCTGGGCATCAGGAAGGCCTGGGCAGCCACCTTTGTTAATTCGTCCCTGGGCCCAGGGTGGCATAGGATTCGGCGGGTGGGGGAAAGACCCTTGTAGGAAATTCATCACTTAAGTAAGCACGGCCTTGAAGCGTTTACGCGCGTGAGAGCAAAGCCGGTCCAAGGAGACATGGCATTACTGAGGGGGGTTCTCTTAAAACCGCACCACCCTCGGGAAACATCCAAACAGGCAGCTCCACGGAGACACAGCCAGGCTAGTGGGTGCCAGGGCTGGGAAGGGGAGACCACTGATGGGCACGGGTTTCTGTCCGAGGTGATGGAAATGTTCTGGAACCAGACAGAGTTGATGGTTGCACAACACTGTGGTGCACCAAATGCCACGGACTTGTGACTTTCAGATGGTTAAAATGGCAAATTTACATGATGGGTATTTTACAATTAAACAAACCTCACTGCCCATAGCCATCATCTGTGGAGGCTGCTGGGGACTAGGCTGGCTCTGGGACCAGACACCTAGCAGGAGCTGTGCCAGCCGTGCAGGCCCCTCCCCCAGAGCAGCCTGGGGACCAGACGGGCTGCTGGAGGGGCTGAGGGTGATGTGCTCGAATGGAACCTTGGTCTCCCCTTCTGACCTGTAAAGGGGGCGACGAGGTCCACCGTGCAGGCACTTTACAGACAGAGATGAGCCCCCCGCCCCAGCAGCGGCTGCAGGGTTACCTTGCCACCGGGGGTCCTCGCCCAGGATCTTCTCCATCAGGGCCTGGCTGGCCAAGACCCCAGGCTGCAGGTCAGGGACGCCATCCCCAGCACTGAGCTGGCCGTTCTGCAGGGCTTCCTGGGCCTGCAGCTCCCTGCAACCAAACGGCACGTGGTCACGGTGCTGCAGCCTGTCCGAAGCCTCCGACAGTGAGATAGCCACCGGCTTCTGTCACTTTATGAAACCGCCTACATGAGGGTTCAGGATGTGCAGCCCACGGCCTTGGGGCCCCCATTCCAGGATGACAGTCTTGGCCCGAATCCCAAGAGCCTCAGAGCCGAGCGTGCGAGACGCCACCAGCTCCCCTGGGTCCGGGTCAGGAGGGAGGAGAAGGGTCACTTTCTCGTTAGCAGTAAAATCAAGGCTCAGAAAGAGCTGCTTGAGGCAAGCAATGCCCGAAACACAGGGAGGAGAGTGGCTCCCGGCAGGACGGCCACTCACCTGATGTCACACACGGGCGGCCGCAGGTCCAGGGGGCCATGCGCGAAGGCGCAGTGCAGCCCGTTCTTCACGCAGTGGCCCCGGGCATCTGTCTCATGGATGCATGTGCCCGTCTTATAGTAGCGCAGGTGATACTTGCGCTCCGTGTCCCCGGTCGTCCGGTGCAGGTACGGACATCTGGGAAGCAGAAGATGAAATGCACCATCTGGGCCCTGGGGCCACCACGGTGTCAACCTGCTCCCGGCAGCTGGTTCTTGTCTCCTTTTCCCAAACACCTGCTCTAGTCGGAGGACGAACAGCACTGGACAAAGCACCTGTCCCTGCTCCAGACCCTCCCCCACGGCACTCTGACCCCCACAAATCCCTCAACTACACATGGGAGAAAAAAACAACACCCAAGTTACCTGAAAATCACCCTTCATAATTTTTTGAATAAAGTGGAAAACAAAGTTCCCCCATCAAGTAAGGGGCTGGCGGCCTCTCCCATCCCCCGTCCAGGTGCTTTCAGGGACCCCTCAAGGGAGGTGGAGGAGCCTGGAAGGGCTGGGGAGAAGCAGCTGGGGGGAGGCACAGATAGGGCAGCATCCTACAGGCCACACAAAGGCCCAGAGCCACGCACTCCCAGGGAGAGCCACACACGGCTCCCTGAGCAGCGAGTGGTCCTAGCGTTAGAGTGAGGGCTCCCGCTGCAGGGAGGTGACAGTGGCAGAGGTGGCATAGACGGTTCCAGAAGACATGGGGCAGGGCACTGAGCCCGCCTCAAGGTCAGTCCCTCCAGACAAGAGCCAGAGACCCAGAAGAATGAGAGGGGATACGCAGAGGACTCTGAGCAGCCCCGGAGTGGCCCAAGGCCAAGGCAGAGCCATGGCTGCAAGTCCCCAGATCTAAAAACAAGGCCATCACCCCCAGAGATGGCTGGGGAGCACTGTGTGGGGCTTGGGAAAGGTCCACTCCCACCTCGCTGCCTTGCAGGCTGTGGACCTGGGTGCTGGGAGCACCTGTGGGGGTGGGGGGCTCCCCATGCAGAGCACACATGGATGGACAAGACCAAAAGTAAAAGAAAAAACGACTTAGGGACCAACCAGTTTAAACCCCCGTCTGGTAAGATGAAGAAACAGAGGCTCAGAGTTCGGACAGCTCACCCCAGACCTTAAGGAACACCTTGGGTGTGCAGGCCATGAGAGCAGGACAGAGAGGACGCCATGCCCTGGTAAGTCCCCGGGTCCCCTGGAGCCAACCAAGCAAAAGGCAAATGCTGTGGGCCCAGAAGATCCAGATGCACTCCCGGAAGAGCTGGGGTCTCGAAGATACATGTGCCCCCACGATCACAGCAGCACGAGTCACAAGAGCTTAAAGCTGGAAATAACCCAAGTGTCCACCAACTGATGGATGGATGAACAAAACATGGTCCATCCAGACAGTGGAATGAGTACTGATACAGGCTACAACAGGGATGAACCTTGAAAACATTCTGTTAAGTGAAAGAAGCCAGACACAAAAGGACAAATACTGTGTGGGTCCATTCCCATGAGGTCCCTAAAGCAGTCAAATTCATAGCAACAGAAAGTAGAGGGTGGGGGTAGGATAGGGAGGGTGGGAGGGAGGGAGATGCAAGAGGGAAGAGATATGGGGACATATGTATATGTATAACTGATTCACTTTGTTATAAAGCAGAAACTGACACACCATTGTAAAGCAATTATACTCTAATAAAGATGCTTTTAAAAAAAGAAAGAAAAAAAGAAAGAGAAAAAAAATATATATCATGTACTACCTAAACCTTTTTATAGCATGCTGATGAAACAGAATAATATATTACTGTTTCAAAGAAGTTGTTTGAAAACAATTATACTAAGCATTTTCTCATTTTTATTAAGTCAATAAATATGTATTAAATATGTGAGTATAATAAATAGAATAAAGAAAACAAACAAACAAAAAAAGGAAAGTAGAGGGTGGGTGACAGGGGCTGGGGGAGGGAGACGGGGAGTTGAGTGTGTAATGGGACAGAATTTCTGTCTGGGAGGAAGAATCTGGAAATAGATGGCGGTCATGGTTGTACAACTTTGTGAATGTAATTAATACCACTGAATTGCACATTTAAAAATGGTTAAGTGCACCACAACTACTGAGCCTGAGCTCTAGAGCCCGTGAGCCACAACTACTGAGCCCATGTACCACAACTACTGAAGCCTGCATGCCTAGAGCCCATGCTCTGCAACAAGAGAAGTCACCGCAGTGAGAAGACCCCGCTCGCCAGAACTAGTGAAAGCCCGCACGCAGCAACGAAGACGCAACACAGCCAAAAATTAATTAATTAATTAATTTAAAAGATGGTTAAAATGGCAAACTTTATGGATGTTATCACAACTTTAAACAAAGCCCACTGGAGACAGAGAAGAGAGAGATGGTCTCTATGTTTGTGTTGAAATACACCACACTTACAGGGAAGCGTGTCACAGGTCATACCTGGATGGCCTGTGGCATTTCACAAACCGACACCTGAGTGACACCACCCAGTTCAAGAGGACAGAACACAGCCAGCCCCTCGGGCCCCTCACATGGGCACGAGGTGGAGGTGATGACCACACTCTCTTGTGAGTGGCGGGAACTGAAAATGAGGCAATTCCTCCAATTAACTCTGCACAAACACTTCTGGGGCAATCCTAGCTGTCATTGCCAATCACCAAAGATCCGTGAGAAAAAGGAAAAGCAGAAGATGGAGAAAGCAGTTTATGAGACAAGCTGGCCCCCACCTTGTGAAAAGAGAAAAGAAAAAACTTAAAGAATTATGACTGTATTACATACAGACAAGAAAAAGGAAACACTGCCTGTGCAGACAGTGCTCTCTGTGCCCAAATAGGAGCTGTCTCCTTCGTGTTCTTAAAGATAAGTTCCAAGGAACATTTTCAGGACGTGTGAGTGAAATGGTCAAATATCTGCTTAGGATTTTTACTATATTAGATACTGACGCAGCCTTGATTAAAATCCCTCACTACAGAGTTACATCTTACGTTTTAAGCTCCTCCAAGAGCTCCTGTGCATCTCCTCACAAGCACTGGTGTGTAACTCAGTCTCTGGGTCCCCAGAGAGGTGAGGCTGTCATGGAGCAGTCTCTGTCACACCAAGGAACCTGTTCTAGAACAAGGAACCCCCTCCCACTTTTCACATTAATATATAGACTAATATCACTAACACAGAACATGTAGAAATAGAGACGCCAGAAACTCACAGAACAATGGGCTAGAGAAATAAACAAGGAACTTATAAAAGAGAAAATGCAAAGGGTCTCAACCACTGAGAGGCACTCATCTTGCTTCTGATGAGAGAAATGCACCTGGAGGCCCACCTGTTCCCGGGCAAAACCCCAGGAGCAGGGCTACAGTAAACCAACACTGCTGCTGGCAAGAACGCCAAGTGACAGGCACCAAGAGGACAGGTGCCATTACCCTCTGTCCCAGCAATCCCCAAAGACAGACTGGCACACAGAGATAAAAAGAAGTTTTGTTCGTAATCACCAAAGGCTGGAGACAACCGAGTTGTGGGATAAACTTCAAGGGAGCTCAGCGTGGCTTGGAGGAATGGGCAGTCTGTGTGGACGGCTTTGGAGGGGGCACCAGGTGGTACCGTGAGGGAAAAGCACTAAGAAGAGGGAGTGCAGGACTTCCCTGGTGGCACAGTGGTTAAGAATCCGCCTGCCAATGCAGGGGACATGGGTTTGAGCCTTGGTCTGGGAATATCCCACATGCTGTGGAGCAACTAAGCCCGTGCACCACAACTACTGAGCCTGCGCTCTAGAGCCTGTGAGCCACAACTACTGAGCCCACATGCCACAACTAGTGAAGCCCACGTGCCTAGAGCCCGTGCTCCACGACAAGAGAAGCCACCACAATAAGCCCGCACACCACAACGAAGAGTAGTCTTCGCTCGCCGCAACTGGAGAAAGCCCGCGTGCAGCAACAAAGACCCAACACAGCCAAAAATAAAATAAATAAATAAATAAATAAATTTATTAAAAAATAAAGAAAAGGGAGTGTCACACCCTGTGATTTACATCGGAAGGTGGGGGAGGGGAACAAGAATACAGATATGTCTGCTTATATCAAAAATTATGGAAGGAGGAGCTATTGTTTCATGGGGACAGAGTTTCAGTTTGAAGATGGAAAAGTTCTGGAGGTGGATGATGGTGATGGCTGCACAACACTGCAAATAAACTTAACTCCACTAAACTGTACAATTAAAAAAGCTAAGATGATAAATTTAATGTTATGTTTGTTTTACTACAATAAAAAATAAAATAAAATGACTTTAATAGGAAAATGGCCATTTTGAAAAAACCGTTCCAATCTTCAGAAACACTCACAATCTACTATAAGTTAAAGCAAAAGAATTTCAGAGTCTGGGGAGAGGGTGACCAGCACATCAGAGCTGAGGCACTGCCTGTTGGTTTATCTACAGAATCCAGTCTGCATAGCCATGCTGAAGCAGGACCACACGGACCACAGGCATCGCCAACGCGCTAACTGCAGGGTGTGGCAAAGGCTGCGTGCACCCCCACAGCTCCGGAGAGTGAATGTGGTGGGCGACACCTCCCCCATTTCCTCATGTTCCCTAATGGTCCCTCAGGTCAGCTCTAAGCATCATTTTGTTTCCTTGCCAGTACCATCACTGTGGCAACCAGAGCCCGGCCAAGGTTCCCCCTCTCGCCAGCACTGAGCACCGAACGGGCACTATTATTTCACTAGGGGCATGTCACCTCTGCTTATTACATGACTTCAAAGCATAAGTTAAGATTAAAATATTGGAGGACATTTAATGAAAAGAAAATGGCTTCACCTAAGAACATCTAAGAGGCAAAAGGGAAAACCTTAGAGAAAACACAATGGCAGAATGTAGACCCTCACTGAAGCGGGGAAGAGGCTGGTGGGAACCCCAGGTGTCAGCCGAATACCACGTGCAGATGCTTCCTCACCACAGGAGTTCACTCATCCATCGGGGGGCCACTGACAGCCCTGCAGCACCTGTAATGTGATTCGGTTCCACAGCCCGCCAAATTCAGGGTGGCACCTGTGGTTCTCAAAACCATCCATGACAATTAGTGACCTAATCAGTGTAATTAAAACAAGGCTCCGGGCTTCCCTGGTGGAGCAGTGGTTAAGAACCCGCCTGCCAATGCA